TTGGTTATGGCACCAGTACATTCACGGATGAACTAAGGTTGAGTGTTTGGTTTTTGCTGGAATTTTGTTTTTGTTTTTGGTTTTTTTGGTGGTGGGGGGGGGTAAAACTCTCTATTCCAATCAGTGACAAGGGCAGTTTTGGAGGCAGAATGCTTGAAGACGGTTGGGAGCTTCCATCATGTAGGATCGAAAGCTGTCCCAATCTGCCTTCGCATAGCGAAAAACCTTTCTATGTAACGGTACATCGGTGCATCAAACTGGACTCTGATTAGGGAATGGTCTGACTTGCCTAGTGTAGATAAAACTTTTGCTAAGCATTTATCAGGGCAGGAGGTTAGGAAATGGTCGAGGAGGTTTGCCTGATGTCCCGTCGTGTCCGGGACCCAGGTAGATTCTCCGATGATCTGGGTTAGTTCATAATCGATGGAGAAGTATCTGCAATATCTACCTTCAACTGGTAGACAAAAAGAGATACAAGTTTACCAGAATACAACAGCTGGTCGGCCATGTTTCGTGCATTTAATCTACCAACTGGTGTGTCTACTTTACATTTATAACTTGGTCAGTCTATGAACTTTTCCAGTCGATCCACGTGTATATATATATATATATATATATATATATATATATATATATATATATATATATACGCACGCACACATAAATATAAAAATATAACTTACTTTCGTTTATTAGGCATTGAATTGTATCACCTCACGTCCATGAACTTGCATGACTTTTCCGCTAATCCTGATGAATATTCATGAGCACTCCTATACCAAAAATTAAAAAAAATTGGTCTTGTATATAAATACTTGTCACAAATAAAATCCCTATATTTGCCTTGATAAAGTCCCTCAAAGTAGAAAACGCGTCGGTTAAGATAAGTTTTCCTTTTGTCTTTAATCGTATATATATATATACACGTGTGTGTGTATGCTTGCATTATTTACATTACTGAGCCATGTGTCCTTTAAGAAGGTCGCAGCGTACAACGGCTGAAACGTTGTGAATATGACAATGAAGATGAAGCTAACAGTCCGAGTAATGTAAATAATGCAAGTAATCATAATACCTCATGTCAAAGATACAGACAGATATGTGTGCGCGCGCGCGTGTGTGTGTGTGTGTGCGTTCTTTGGTTGACTGACGATCGCGGTAGCGTGAAACTCTATACGGGCTGAACTTTGTCTCTTTTTGAGTAGTGTCGCTGAGTCGTGTATTTGTTCTGTCTCGCTCATTTAGACATAAAGCAGTTACTTTTACTCTTTTCGTAGATGTCTGTCTTTGACATTTTCTCCTTCTCTTGATATATATATATATATATATATATATATATATATATATATATATATATATATATATATAATCATTGCAGCATGTTCATAGATTGCCGTATCATTAATTGTACATTGTTAAATTAGTTATTAACTCGTAAGCAGGCATGGGTTCAAAGGAGGCTCAGATTTGATTTGATTGTATATCAAGTTCTTATGGATCGTTTAAGGTTGAAATTTAATTTTTTGGGGAGTCTGGAAGTAATAAAAATATGATATATATTATTATGCTTTCACAATAGAATACATGGTAGATGATACTCAGCTTTGGTGCATATACATGTTGGTACGGACATAATTACAAGGAGCGGCGATACGTGTCTTTTATGTTGTTTTTGAAGTTTTATTTTCGAATACAGTTTGATTTCTTTAAGAAATTGAATGGATTGGTACCATGAAAGAATTCTTTCATTGTGGTTGTTTAAGTTTGTTTCGCGACATATCAACACCTCTCTGGGTTATTTAATGCCGAAATCTAAATATTATGAACAAATTTTTAATGACTTCAACTAAATATATTATTAACGCAATTGTATGCCTTCAACTACAGAAAAATGTATTGTTAGTCATTTTGTTACAAAATATATTGTTGGTAATTCTTTATATATATATAAACATGTATTGCTGGTATTTTTGCGATAAGAATGTATTTTTATACTTTAATGGTGTTTTACTTTTGTTTAGAGGTTCACACTCTAACAGGTGCTACTACACCGGGCCAGGGTAGACCTGGGAACAGCAGCAATTAAGAGGTGGTTCCACGCTCCTCAAAACCTCAATTATCCAAATCAGAGGCCTTGCTGTCGTATGTACTTTATCGTCATACCCAGGAATATGCCTATTTAGAAAAGCAGAGAATTGGAACGGCTTAAAACAAATGTGTGTTCCTTGAAGTGAATTCATCCTGCTTGTAATTTTTGTGTAACTGTTTATGATAAAAATTCAGGGTGTCCCCCAAAATTTGACATCATTTCGCAGGCCAATAATTTTTGACAATTCTTGTTGAAATAACCTCAAATTTTCACAGAATGTATAGAAACAGATCAAGATTTTATATTTAATGTTTTATTTTTGTTATCTCAATGAGAATCTGCCAGAGATATGGATCTGGCGTGGTGGAGATGAAGACAGTTTTCTGATGAAATGGCCGCCGCGGTCACCGGACCTCTCCCCGTATGATTTCTTTTTATGGGGATATGTGAAGGTACTGGTCTATGTCCCAACTAGCACTGATGAAATCAAGCATAGAATCACTTCCGCACTGGATAATGTTACCGGAGACGTGCTACAGCGTGTTTGGCAAGAGCTTAACTACCGACTTGTGTGCCGTGTCACAGGCGGTGCACATACTGAACACTTATGAAATCGGTCGCATAATAAACTTATGATGTTCAAAACCTAAACTGTTCAATTTCATTGAGCTAGACTTAGTAGTTTTCAAGATAATTGCGTTTAAAATGTTGTCAAATTTTTTGGACACACTGTATATTAATATTACTGTTATTGTGTTTGTGAACTATATTATCAATTGGTTTAAAAAGAAAATTATTTGACTCTTTGTAACCATCATTATGAGAGTTTTTCGACTTGAAGGCACACTGCAAACCAGCGTGATTTCTCCTCTGTGTAAATAATTCTTATCACTCCTCTCCAAATCTTCATGTCCTGTGCTAACTCACGAAAAGGCAGGAGATCTTTTAAGCTCTTCAAGATTTTTACGGGTAATGATGGAATTTTATTGACAGTCCTTTTAATGTCGTTGTTCAGTACGTATACGATGGTTGTTCGCTGTCTTCCGCGAAAGTGTGCCGCATTGCTCTGCTCGAACTAAAACAGCATTCCCTCATGAGTAGGAGTTTATCCATCTAATCGCATCACGTGTCTAAATAGCTTCTCGCGTAATCGGAGGATGAAAAATGAGATCAGATAGGTTTTACATCGTTTGTACAAGTTGGAATTGGAGATGACGTGCGGGTATTTTTTTGCCGATTTTTAACTGTTTTGGATGGAATCAATCGGGTACTTCTTCACCCTTCTTTGTCAGTTCCCTCTATGTTACTAATTTTTCAGTCCTTTCTATATTACTAATTTCTTTAAGTAAAAGCGCGCGCGAGGATGAAACCACGTGCGCTCTCGTGAGGAAGTTGTTTTGTCACCGCTAATTTATATCTAGAAAAAATAATTCGCTATTATAATTGAGATTTCAGGAGTTTTTACTTACAGTTTTTTTTGGTTTTTTTTGTACATTGAAATATAAATTTCCCATAAGTCTCAGTTTGAGGAGCTTACCCTGGTGATATAAGCTATCAATTGTCTGTGGAGCTTGAAGTTTGAGTCAAGAAAATACTTTATTATACAAGGATTGATTGACTGATTTGTGGGCTATTTACAGTCGAAACACATTTTGTATTGTAACAAAATAAATGTTCGCGAGTAAATATTGCATTAATAATTTTTTTGAAGATAATAATTTTCCAGATACAAATCCTACTATTTAACCTATAACAGGGGGTATAAGAAATGAATTTATACTTTCTACCAAGGGTAATTGCGTGTTTATTGCATTATCATACAAGGAAACTAAATCATTATTTCATGCGGACTATTGTCCTCATATTTGTTGTTGTTATCACGACATTGCAGACGTTGTGTCCCCTATCTTCATCTCGGTAAACTACAGGGAATTTCGAAGCGAACCCTTTATTTAATCTACAGGGGTAAAATGTTCTCGTTCTTATTTTAGTACTGCTCAGTTACTGCACTCACCAGGTAGGCAGGCTAGGTTGAAGACTCCAAGCTCTCCACACAGAATTGTCTCACGGGACAATAGCCTAGTAGATTAAAGCTTTGGTTCTTGAATTTGGTGACATGGTAATTGTGAGTTCAATCCCTGGTCCGGAGAGTGTGCCCTTGGACCCGGTAAAAACGAGTAATAATGATAACCATTAATCAATGACGAGTCGCCCTAAGGGTGTTTCAATGCCTGTACACTGGCACAGTTATTAGCATAATTCTGATCTGAAATTTTCACTGGATAATGTTTTAAACAATTAATAGGGAATGATAATTATAATATTAGCCGCTTCCTTATAAAAAAAAATGACTGATCAGTACTACGCGAGTTATGCATTTCTTCAATCAATCGGGCTGAGATCAAATAATACTATCCCTAATAGTAATTATAATATCAACCGTTTCCTTATAAGGAAACATTCGGCATTTATAGATCGAAGAGCCAGTGCTACAGCCGGTTGAAATTTATAAAAATCTTTCAATTAAAACGATTTTACAGGAAAATAGGTTTCTCAATTCTTGTTATCACTCTTTCCAGTATGGATGAAGTTTTCCTTGTAACCGTGTTCCGATGTAACTAACTTTCCTTGTTCGATGTAATATGGAATGTCAACATCTTGATTATGTCATTATTTTCTCTTCGGGTTACAGTTGCTATCCATTTTAGTTGTTGTTGCTACTGAAAGTTTTTAATTGATTTGGTTTCTGTCATTTGGTTAAGTTCTTTGTGATTCTGTAGCGCCAGTCCACGATCTTCGAAGAAAGATGGTCCGCGCCAAGACTTAAAAAAAGCATTTGGGCTATGAATTAGATTATGTCGAACAAATTTTATAAGTACTTTTCTTAATCATTAGTCTATTGTCTTATCTGATGTGTCCACTTATTGTATCTGTTTATTTCTTAAGGTTAGCAATATTTGGAAAAGTTAGAAGTGTGATACATACGGTGAAGATCGAACTCAAGCATATTGTTGCTTTTTGTTTGCTTTTTTTTTTAGACAACCGTTAACCGTTACCCCACATCGAAGCGCCTTCCCATAAATCGTTATATTTCGCTTTGTGTATGTTGTTATGAACACGTGGTCGAGCCTAGATTCATCATGGCACCTACATACATGATTATGTGTAAGGTTAAATCCAGGTAAATAGTTCACAAGATGTACGTGTTTATGCGCCCTTCATTGGTGAACGAGCATGACCTCTAAAATCGTAGCCTACTTATAAATAGGTCTTTTAATTCTCCCCCCTCTAAACAAAAAAGAAAGGAAGAGAGAGTCTCCATTAAACACACACACATATATATATGTGTGTGGGGGGCGGACAGAGAGAGTATGGGGGTGGCCTTGCGAACTGATTTTCGGTGTAGGTATCAAAGAGAGTATCAAAGAGAAAATACTGGCTGTAATTCTATCTCCGATAACTGATCGACCAATCCAAAGATGAAACCTCCCCTTCTTTATTACTAGGGCTTTTTTAATCATACTCTCTTTTATCCGTCTGCTCATTGCCAGTTTCCCCCTCTTATTCTTTATGTAAGTCTATTTTTTTTTCACGCTTACCATTCCCTACACCTTATTTTATTTCCAGCGTTTTACGATCCTTTTTTTTTTTTCTTTATTTTTCGGTTTTTTCTTTTTCTTCTTTTTGGTTAATTCTTTTTTTTTTTTCCAATTCTTGTTCAATTTGTCTTTTCTTTTCTTTTTCACTGTTTTTTCTCTTTCCATTTTATACTATCATGTCATTTATTTTTCTTTCTTTCTTTCTTTCTTTAAAAACAGCCGTATTTTTGGTTGTAGGGGGAAAAGTAAGGGGAAAATGTCACAGAAAAACGTTACACGAAAAAAATCAACCGGACTTAAATTATTAAATGTCTGACTTAAAATTTGCAAAAATAAAAAAATTAAATCTTTACTGAAATATGAACATCACTGATTACTTATTTCATTACAATAAACAAGAGGTTCATCCCTTGTTTCCTGTTTAGGATTGGGTTTACAGTTCCTTCTAATGTTTACTTCCATTCTATACTTTTAACGTCTCCGACTAAACCCTGAAATATTATTCACTAATTAAAACTTGACATTTTCAAGTCTAGAATTAGCTGTCAATTTTTCCTGTTATGTTTCCCTTTCTTTAGCTAATATAACTCGACATAACACACACACAATAACCCTCTACCTTGGGTGGCCCTTGTGCTTTCTATTGGGTGAACATTAGTAAAAAAAATGTCATCTTCATTTTCTTCTTCATCCAGCAATTTTTCTCAAATCACTAGCATACTTTTATTTTTTACTTTTCTTACAGCAAGTTTCACTCTTTAATAGCCACTCGACGTAAATGGTTACGTCTGAAGGCCATTTGTGTCTATATAAGTGGAAGATAACAGTTAAGATTGAACAGGTTAAGATTGTAGTGATCGGGGAAACATCACGATGGGAGTCGGTTCCACAGGGCAGTGGTTCGCGAGAAGAAGCTGTTTGAGTGGAATTTGCTTCTCACCGATGGAATACGGAGGGAATGTGGGTGGTTTGTATGTGGCATAGCGTGTTCTTGATGTCGAGGTGTGACACGGCAGGACCAGGGAATGTAGTTCGTCCAAGCACTTTCCGTAGAAGTAGCGCTAGACCAGTGAGAGGCTTACTACATCCTGCCTGTGGGAGAGAGACTGAAGGATGGAAAATCGTCACCCACAAGGGCTAGGAGACGCTTTTGAACTCAAGGCTGAAGAGTGAGGTCTGAGCAGCTCTCGCCCAAATATGACACAAGTACACCATTTTTGGTCTGATCTGCCTCTGTAAAAGGTAGTGGATCGACTGATAATGCGAACCTCTTTGCCTCCATTTTTGCCTTTAACACAAGGTTAGATGACATAAATCATCCCTTCCTCAAGTTGCACGTCTCAACTGAGCACAATCTCAGTAATATTACCATCACAGCATACTTAGACTTATATAACGCCTTGATCCTAAGAAAGCCACTGGTCCAGACAAAATTCCTGTGGTTATCATTAAGAATATCAACCTGTAATTATCGCCAATCCTATCAAAGTTATTCAACCGCTGTTTGAAGGCGAACTCCTTCCCAAACCCGTGGAAAGTGTCAAGCGTATGTACGATTTTCAAGAACGCCGGCGTGCGATCTTCCCCCTCCCACTAAGGGCCGATCAGTCTCCTCGGTATAATCAGCAAGCTCTTTGAGGCCATAATCAATAAGAAGGTCGTCGAGCACCTAGAAAAGAACACGTTCTTCAACGACGAGCAGTATGTGTTTCGGTCGGCCCGATCCACAGCCAACGCCCTAACTACTATCACTTACAGAATCAGTAAGGCTCTTGACAACAAACACACCTTGAGGACCATAGCACCAAATATCTTCGACAAGGTATGGCACATATCTGAGTTTAAATATATATATATATATATATATGTGTGTGTGTGTGTGTGTGTGTGTGTGTGTGTGTGTGTGTGTGTGTGTGTGTGTGTGTGTGTGTGTACGTATTTAAACTCAGTGGGTAAAAAACCTGGATAGCACAATTTTCAAACAAGTTGGCATCCGAGAAAAAAATGTGGAAGGAAAAAAAGAAAGCACCAGAAACCTCCGAACAGGGCGAAAGAAATCGTCCAGTACCTTAAAATTCTGGTACAAAGAAAAAAAAAACAACAACGAGTAATAAGTTAAAACAAAGATGCTCAATACACTAAGTAGAGCAGAGGTAAAATAAATAAATCCTAATGAGCCAGATACTACCTACCTAAGCTTCACCACATGGGATCATCTGGTTATATATATATATATATATATATATAATTTCCTAGAATAATATTTAGTGTTCATAACAGCTACTTACTTTAAAATACTCGCAGGATCTCAGTATAAAACGCTGGCCTCGTGAAATTCTGTAATACTTCCTTTTAGAATAAGTTAATCGCTGTACAATCATCATATGAGTACATCGTAAAGTGATGGTAAAGGCGCTAACCTTGCAAGATATATGAAATAGATAGATATTAGCTGGTTGAGATCAATCTAAAAAGAGAACGGGAGGCGAACAGTCTTTTTGAATTGCATTGCTTTTCATTTAACTGTTTTGTTTTGTTTTTTTTTTATCGAAATTGCTGACGAAATTGCTAGAGTAACGAGTTTAGTTCTCACCCTATTGTCTTTCTATTGTGTGGTAATTAAATCCACGATAATACATCAGGCTACAACCCTAAGTGCTAAGCCACGTGCGCTGACACGAACTGGACGACCTCTTTTGAGGAGAAAAACACAGCAACCTATAGTATTTTAACATATTTAATATCTAAAGTGAAAAAGATTAATAAAGAAAAACAAGTATTTCATGGCAATGTGATTCCGCGGACTTGGCTTAGCATAAAACCAATACGGGTATATTGTCGAAAGTCCATATTGAAGAAGAGGTCTCTTTCAGTCCACAGCTAGGTTCTTCAGATAGCAGGTTGCCGGCTACGTTCTTCCGTAATTCAGGTTACGGAAAAACGGAGCCAGCAACGTAAAATCACTGTCCAGGGCTTGTGGTGAAGGGAATAACTTTGTTTGGTGGTGTCTGAGTAAAAGATGGATGAAGAAGAAGAAAAAAAAGATGGGTCATTGAAATTGGCGCTTATATAACTAGTATCACATGACCCTTACAGCAGCAGTGATTGTCCCTTTCTTTAGCCATTCTGTGTTTTCTTTTCATTCTGTGTCTGATTAAACTAGATTTCCGATTGGTTATTCTAAATTCCAGTAATTACGGCCATACGATCACTTTTAAAACACTTAGGATCAAACGACTTATCAAGTCTAACGGGACCAGAACGTAACCCACTTCTTATGCGTAAACCTGAGGATTCGTTCTTTAGGATCCATTTCAGCACTAAGAGGATACATCATAATGGCTATAGCTATGTCCGATTCAGGTGAATTCATGGATAATCCAACTTAAAAATGTAATTTAAACTGTGACTTAGACTTTCTGGGATGAGAAGAAACAGGTCAATATTTTAACCAGCTTTTTCTTCTTCTTCTTCTTCTTCTTCTTCTTCTTCTTCTTCTTCTTCTTCTTCTTTTATAAAAAAAACCCCAGATGTTACAAAATCTGAAAGAAGAAAGTACAGCTGACTCTAGATATTTGTGCTGCGCCAATTAGACAAGAGGGATAGAGGAAAACATTGCATAGCATACTTAGTGAGTATCTCTATCTATAGAAGGCAGGGTGTGTGTGTGTGTGTGTGTGTGTGTGTGTGTGTGTGTAACGAATGCACGGCCGCAATTTTCGACGGATTTGCACCAAAGTTTACATGCACACGCTCCAAGTTAGCGGGAAGGCCAAGATCGACTTTGCATTTCCCAACTCCCATCGATAGTGGAAATAATCGATTTTTTCATGCTTCTACAGCAGTTATCATTTAGTTTGCGGCCATTTTGTACTGGCCAGAGTGAGAGCCTATAGTTGGCTGCCACGAATAGGCAGGAAGATTCTATTGGCCAGCGTGAGAGCCAACAGCTGACTGACACGAATGTTAACTAGCATACTAGCATGCAAAAAAAAAATCGATAGCTGCATTCGTCACAAATGGGAAAATCCAATTGGCTCATTCGCTTGCTTAACGTTGATTCTGATTCCGCAGAACTGGGTTGGGTGTGAAAAATATTTGTTGTTAACATTCTTTTTTCATTCAGTTTTTCCAGTTACGATTCCTTTTTTAAAGCTGATCGTTTTGTGTTCATTTTGTTTAGTTCTTTTTTCGTAACAGATTTAATGTTTAGTATAGAGCTTAGAAAAAATTTGCAGTATGAGATAGGCAAGAAGTAAGGCATTTAGCAACATCAGCACGGCAAAGGGTACTCCTTTAAAGGCAAGGAAGGGCAAAAATATTTTAAGTCAAGTGATAGCGATTGCTGTATGAGTCGTATGATTTTTTAATCAAGCACGGGCAACGCTGGACCATGCTGCTAGTCTGACTATATTTCTGAGATCAGGTATTTTAATTAGTTACAGTTACATTGTTCGGACTACTGTCCACAATGCCCACTTAGTTGTTTTAATTTTAATATCAGATTTATATTATCTCATTGCTGCAAATATCACCGACATTCTTTGACAAAATCGTTTATATATGCTCTAACTTTTATTCAACCATCGAAGTATTTTATTGAGCTTTCTAGGAACTTACGCTACTATTCAACGATTCCATGTTGTCCATCATAAATGAATGAAGCCGGTTTTTAATTTTGTTGAATAAGCAAGCATTTTTAAGTAGAACTGACAAAATTCCCATTCACAATAATAAAAATAAGTTTTGTTAGGCTGATTTTTTAGCGGCATATCAACATTTCTGTGGGTTATTTAATGCCGAAATCTAAATATTTTGTACACAATCGTATGCCTTCAACTACAGATAAAATGTATTGTTAGTTATTTTCTTATAAAATGTATTATTGGTAATTCTGCTATAAAAATCTTTTGCCGGTCATTTTACTATAAATATGTATTGTTGGTAGATTTGTTTTATAAAAATTTATTGCTGGTATTTTTACTATAAAAAAATTATTTTTATACTTTCATTGTGTTTTGTTTTTATTTGGTGGGGGGTCATCATTTGCTGGGACTCTAAAAGATGCTACTAGCCTGGATAAAGGTGAACCTGAGAACGACAATTAAAAGGTGGTTCCATGCTTTTCAAAACCTCAAATCTACCAATCAGAGGCTTTGCTGCCGGATGTAGTTTATCGTCATACCCAGGACTAAATAAAAATAAAAGCAGAACAAAATAATAAAAGAAATGTTGATTGATTGATTCGTTTTTTACGGCTTATCAACCCTTTACAGGATATTTAAACCCAGGAATTTTGAGGGTTATCTTTTATTTTATTTTAGATAATAATGGTTTTAGTGATGCAAGTATTACTAATTAACCCATAGATGGGGGAAAATTGGATTCATACCTTTCCCAAGGATATTTGCGCGTAAGTGAATATAACGAACCCAACAGGAATTGGAACTCGGTTCTCTGATTAAAAATTCTGAACCATTATCCATTACACCACCCACACATCTAAGCTTACAGAACCTGGTTTTCCGAAACAGTCACCCATTTTTTACCAACTAGGTGCGATGGTGCTTAACTTCGATAATCGTACGGGAAACGGTGTTTCAACGTGATGTGACCGTAAGCCAACACAAGAAATGAACAATACAAAGCAAAACAACTATACGACAACAGTAAATTTAAGCAATTATAAGACAGCAAAAACAAAACCAATGTTCATACGCAAACGGGATACAGTCAAATGGTTATAGCCTTTTGACTTTAAGTCAAAAAAGAACAAAAATGACTTGCTAAGACCAAGAATTGTCCATTTTTATTGAGTGACGCATTTATTGATTTGTTGATCAATTGAGGGAGAGGGATTTTCAAAAGACATTACCACAGATTCGAACCAAGAGATTCGATGAATTTTTCGTGAAATTATCAGAATCGCTGTGTTGAATGCACGATGCAAGGGGCGGTTTGAAATTGACAGGTGTGGAAAATGTGAAAGAACACCCCATCCCAACTCTTTCATCGTCTGCTCCGTCTTATTTGCCAAATAAATGTGTCTTTGTCGGGCATCAATATCACTGGCTGATTTTTTTGCCCGTGAAGAATGTTTGTATTTGTTCCTATGTGTCATTCAAACAAGCCAGATGCCGGCTGCAACGTTGCGCAGTAACAAATTGTCCAAATTGCATTAAGTCATTAAAAGAAAGCACTCAAAGAGTGTATACCGCCGCACACACGTTTGTTACTCAAAACTAAACAATCAGTTTATAAATCTCAAGCTATATCATAACAAAAACTTACAATAATTATTCCTGATACATCATAAACAGACAAACAAACATGGATGATACATTTTGACGTTAGTGGGGATTTTACAAGCAAGTGAAATTAAAAAATAATGGCCAGTCGGAAATCACACAGAAATAAAACTGTAAAGTTTATTTCTGGGGGAATTACTGGGACGAGGATTTATCCTTATTTACATTCGGACTAACGTCCCCATGTTTGTTGTTTTTATTCCAACCTATCGGCTATTGTACCCTCCGGCTTTCTTTAGGCGTTTGCCGATCCGGGTAACCTAACAATTTTGCACTGAAACTTTTATTTAACTACGGGGGAGTGATGTTTAGCGTTCCGCTATCAATATCCATGGATATCTGATCTTACAGGTTTAATCTGTGAGGCTGAACTAAATAATATGGATTTTACAAGTACACAATAAATACCTCAAAGTAGTTTGTTTCATAGAAAGTAAGGTCATTTAAAAAAAAAAAAAACTTGAGAAGGAAACCCAAAATTAACGAAAATGTAAGTCGAGTGAAGTTTACATAAATCTTAGGAGTTGGCATACGAGGTCAAAAGATAATACTGTAATGTGTTTGACCAGAAAGGCATCTGTTGTTTATGAGTATAAAGACGCTATTTGTTAATGTGTTTACTGAAAAGAAAATGTGCTTTTGAACTTAAGGAGGAAACTGATTGAGAAATTAAATTATTTTACGAAGAAGAGCCAAATGGAAGATAAACCCAAACAAAGCTCATATTGTTGATGGATGATTTATTACTGTTTATCGATAATTTCGTCCACAAAATCAGAAATTATTTCGTGAAAAATTCTAAGATATTACGGCCATGTTATTTAATATTGATAATTCTGACGCTGAAAATGTAATTTATTATTCTAATTTAAAATTTTATTTATAATTTTCGCAAGAAACTTTAATGACCGAAAGGGAATTGTCTGATTACATCGTAAACGTGATCCCACTTTGATGGTGGTAGTTGGAGGAAGCTGAACCAATCAGCAGCACCGAAACCGAATATGGAATATAATATAAAAATTATCATTTCAGTATAAGCCATTTGATTTTGACTCCTGAGCACCAGCGCCTTCCTCAAGCAGCCTTGCGAGACAAACTTATTCTTGGAAGGAACCAAGAAGCGAGAATTTTACAACTTAAGAATTCGAGAAAGATTGAAAGCGAATTTTGGTTATTGGCCCGGGATAAAAATTCAAAATACAAACTCAGTCACAAAACCAACGAACAGGTGACGGCTGATGAGAACTAAAAGACTGGATGTTAACACAACATCTGTCTATATTTCTGAGACGAGGTACACTATTTACATTATTCGGACTATTGTCCTCATCTTTGTCGCCATGATTATCACCACGTTTCGGCCGTTGTACGCCCCGGCCTTCTTAAGGTGGTTGGAATGTCGAACTGAACACTTTATTTCGCTCACTGGGCTAGACTGTTCTAGTTCCACGTCCCATGTCTAATGGATGCCAGTTATCTCCTGTTAATTCCCCTCTCCAAGTCCTCCACTGCCTTAACCGCATTTTTGACCAGTGCTCATATTGCAATTTTTGTTGTTATTATCGCTTTTCTCTAGCACTCATTATTGGTTCCCATATTGTATTCATTTCTATGTTTGGTCGGCACAGGAGATTCTTGTGGCCTAGCATATGTGCTGATTCCTTAAGTTTACGAATTTTCCAATGGTGTTCTTTGTCTATGATCTCAACTTGATCCCACAAATGGCGGTGATCTCCCTTTTCTGTCCATATGTGGTCAGCTACGTCTGATTTTTCCACTTCCCCTCGTGTTACAGCTTTCTGGTGTTCTTGAAGCCTTACTTTAAGGGGGCGGCCTGTCTCCCCTTTATATTTCTTTCTGCAGCTGCACGGGATAGCGTACACACAGTCTTTAGTCATGTTCTCCTCTGTGATGGTGGGGGGTCTTACTCGAGAGAGATATCTGCGAAGTGTCGTTCCGCTTTTGAAGGTTGTCCTGTCGTTATATGGACAGTAGATTCTTTGTGTTTTCTCTGATAACCCCTCTACATAAGGCAGGCAGACTATTTTCTAAGTGGTGTTGTCCTCTTCTTGCACCCCCCCCTATCCCAGTTTTTGGAGCTGCTGCCATGTACCCAGGGTACTTGTTACGTTGTAGGGTACTACTTATACTGACCAAATCTTTATCTAATGTCTCTGGGTCGCCACTTATGACTTTTGCTCGATATTGTAAGCAGCGGACGATCCCTTTCTTTACGCTGTATGGATGGTGGGAGTTGAAAATGGGGTACTGTCCGGTGAATGTCGGTTTACGGTATACGGATGTCTTAAACCCATACTCTGTTTGAGATATTAGTACATCCAGGAATGGGGGTGTGTTGTTACTCTCTTCCTCCATTGTGAACTGTATCGAAGATCTTATTGAGTTCACATGGTCCAGTAGAACCTGAACATCTTCCTGGCGTGGCCAGAATATGAAGGTGTCATCTACGTACCTTAACCACTGTATCTTTCTTTCCCTTTCTCTCCCTATACACACGGCTTCTTTCATAAGCATTTTATTATTATTATTATTATTATTTACTCTCGTTCCCTCTTCCTTATTCTCTCACCCTAATAACTTATCTCTATCTCTATACACCAGTGCTCTTTTTCTTTCTCTCAATAATTCACTCTCTCTCTCTCTCTTCTTCCTCCTCTCTTTTCCTCACCTTTCCTATCTTTCTTGCTCACATTCTTCGCACGAAATCTCCTTTAGACTTTCTCTCTAATCCATTCTCACTTCGCCTACTCACTCAGGCTCACTTTCTTTCTCTACTTCATCTCTCTCTCTTTCTCTCTCTCTCTCACTTTCTTTCTCTCGTTTTAAAAATCGAGAGCCCAATTTTAGTCTATAAAAATTTGAATCTATTAAATTTTTCAAAATAATTTGAAAAACGCTCAAATTCTTTCAACTTCTCACCAGTTTCACTCTCTCTCATTTTCTAGCCTACTTACACCCACCCATTATCTATCTATCTATCTATCTATCTATCTATCTATCTATCTATCTATCTATCTATCTACCTCAGCCTGTTCATATCTATCTATTTATCCATCTATCTCAGTCTGTTCATATCTATCTATCTCAGTCTGTTCATATCTATGTATCTATCTCAGTCTGTTCATATCTATGTATCTATCTCAGTCTGTTCATATCTATCTATCTATCTATCTATCTCAGTCTGTTCATATCTATCTATCTCAGTCTGTTCATATCTATCTATTTATCTCAGTCTGTTCATATCTATCTATCCATCTACGTCAGTCTGGTCATATCTATCTATCTATCTATCTATCTATCTATCTATCTATCTATCGTAATCTGAAATCGTTGGATATCTTTTAGTCCATAAAAAATTAAATCTGTTAAATTCGTTTCCAAAGTAACTTAAATAATATACTCAAGTCCTCTCTTTTTACTTTTTACTTTTTACTTTTTCTCTCACGCCTACTCACAAATACACACTTTTCACTCTGTCTCTATCTGTTTGTCTGTGTCTCTCAACCTCTCTCACTCTCTCTCTCTCTCTCCCTCTCCATATATATATATATATATATATATATATATATAAAATATATATATATATATATATATATATATATCTTGTTCTGAAAATCGAGAGACCAAGTTTATTGTTTGAAACTTTATATCAGTTAAATTTGTTTTAAAAATAATTTGATACTCGCCCAACTCCTCTCAACTTCCCCCACATTTGCTCTCATTCTGTCCCACTCTCTAATACACTCTCTTTTTTATCTCACTATTAAATACTTTAAAAACGGCCAGATTTTTGTCTGTGTTGATCGATCAAATCTAGCTTCGAACTGATGGACTTCATTTGCAATGTTATTTGACTAAACACGCCAACTCAACAGTGATTTCGTCCCTGAGAATAACGCGATAGATTTGGGGTTGTCGCCAAAAAGTCTTCGGTGCAGAAATGCCGAAAAATAATTATTATTAGTTATGAACGTCATATCTGTGTAAATGCGGGGGCGGTATATGGCAGGTGTCGTCAGAGTTAGATAATGAGTTTCTATCGGCTGAAAGCAAAGGAAAAAGAATAGCGTAACTTTTGCTTTGAAGCCAATAAACCAAGTGCAGATGTTTTCATGACGACATTTGATATAGTTTTCCTATGATGCTCTTTTATCCCCCTCTCTTCTCCTCATATCCTTCCAGGTGGTAAGAGATCATGGCTCTCCACGGTTTCCTCTAATATCTATAAACTATGCATTGCCCTGATTGTTCTTGGGAAGCGTAGTTTAACTGAATTAAGCACAGTTACACGTTGTCTTTTGCACGATTTTAATTCCCAATTTTCTTTCTTTAATGTAATAAGAACTGACAATAAAAAAGGAGAAGCGGAAAATTTATCAAACATGGACCTTCGTAACCGCAAAAGACGGACTGTCAACTCGACGGATTTTCCATTGACACCGCTATTCTTTTAATTACCTTCCATCTCGGCAATATTTGTTGTTTTAAAAAGCGATGATTAAAATTGTAATAAAATTTAAACATACCATGAAAGTGACATTTATACTTTTTTTTTTTTGTTCTTTAGAATTTGCATGAAAAATATTAAACACTATTTATTTGTTAGATTTTTTTTTATTTACAAGTATAATTTTATATTTAAAACGTTGTAAAACTAATACAATTAAAACTAATGCAATATCTATTATTTACCAATTTTTAAAGAAATAAATATGTAAAACAATTTTTTCTCATGAATTTATAAACATTTCCTAAATTATTGAAATATGTGAACCAACTATAAGAAAATCCTTATTATTTACCATTTTATAAAGTTCGAATCAATGAGCCGATATTTGCCCACCATTTTAATAAACAATCTAATAAATAAATAGTATTTAATATTTTTCTTGTAAATTCTCAAGAATAAAGAAAATGTATGAATTCACTTTCATCATATGATGTTTAGATTTTTATTACAATTCTAATCATCGTTTTTAAGAACAATAAACATTGCTGAGGAGTGAAGGTAGTTAAAATAATAGCGGTGTCAATGGAAAAACCTTCCTTTTGATACTCAGCTTTTTTTCTTTTCTTTTTTTTTTTTCTTTTTTTTTTCTTTTTTTTTTTACTGGTACGAAGGTCCAAGTTTAGCGAAAATTTCAACTACCGTAATTGGCAAACGAAACGAAAAAAATGAAAAGAGAGAAAAATACTACAAAATGAGCGAACTGGTTATCGCTTCTCGTTCGTCAGAACTCTGATTGAGGAAATCTAAATATTATGTATGCTAAGTGAAAAAAAAGGAGGAAAACGCGTGGAAAGAAAACGTGCACATATCAATAATGCTAGACTCCTGGAGAGCGACACGCTGCGCCTACTTGGCCTCACTTTTTTAACTGACTTGAAGTGGAACGACTACATCGAATCGACAGCTGCAAGGAAAGTTGGATGACTATGTCGTGCCAGAAAGTTTTTCTCGTCAGAGTCCATCTTGCACATTTACAAATTTACCATTCGTCCGTGCATTGTATATAGTTACCTGCAATATAATCTATCCTGACTTCGCATTTCGACTTCAGTCACTTTCTCACCAAGATGACATATCTTCCTTCTGACTTTTTTTACAAATATTTTTTATGGCTACTGCTCTGACGATCTTTTTTCCCTGATGCCCCGACTACATGAATTTAAATTACTGGCGAGGGAACGATTAATTTGGTTTCAAAAGCAAAATACATCCTCATTCTTTGAAATCAAATTAATCGTTCACTCATTAGTAATTTAATAATCGCTTGAGGAGACGCATTGTTATGCGTTGAGACACAACTGCAATTGTGTAGCGATTCTTACATGTTTTTGTTGTAATATCCTAAAATAAATGATATTGTTCTACTATGTAATGAGCCTTATTTTAAATTAAATGTTATGAACGTTGCAAGTATACTCTATACGTTTTTATCGTACCTGGACACACACACACACACACACAGATATATATATATATATATATATATATATATATATATAAAATGACAATAAAATGACAATTGAAAAAAAATCTTCTTTTTTTGCCGTCGTGTTTCGTCGTCCGACTTTTTCAAGGCAAAAATGAAATCGAAATGTCTCTGTTGTTATGATTACATTAAAAAAAAGAAATGAAAAAAAGATAGACGCTTCTGTCTAAGCCTTTTTCTGGTTAATGTAATTACTGGATTGTAATTACATTTCGATTTCATTTTTGCCTTGAAAAAGTCGGAAGACGAAACGCGTCGGCAAAATATAAGATTTTTTTCCAGTTGTCATTTTATACCAATTTGTCTTGTCCACAGAATTGTTCTTGGAATTTAACTAACTATATATATATATATATATATATATATATATATATATATATATATATATATATATATATATATATATAGAAATTTAGCGGAGAATAAATCTTAGCAATAACTGCAAAGGTTTTTTTCCTTCCTTTTCCAATCGAGAAGTTATTCATTTTCTCTTAAAAGACGTCATTTATGACGATTCCTTGTCATATCTGGATTACCAGTACCAATATTCTTTCGCTTTAGGGTCTTTTAAATAAAAATTATGAATTTAATAACTTCCTAGGGTTTACTGCGGTTAAATAAAAACGTTGGCAGCGGAACTATGGATACAGAAAGGGACCGCTATATTTTAATTATATATTATTTTAAATATTAAATTTTTTTTTTTTTTTACAGTGGCATGCATAATTGCATAAGAAAAGCTATCTTCACAAGGCATGATCCAAGTATGGACCAAGTTTTCATTTTTATCACAAATTCTTATACATTCCCTTACCTCGAAAGTTCTCGAATCACGTAACTCACCTTCAAAATCAACAAACTAGAAATGAATCAAACATTTTCCTTCCTTCAATCTTCTCTATCTGTTTTTGCTGTGGTTGCTTCTTACACTCATTGCCCTTACTTCATGTTATATTCCGTGCTAATAGGAATATGTAATGGACAAACACGGTGGATAAATAGTAACAGGTTTATTGCAGAAACGAGTACAACAAGCAAGGAAGTAATAGTTATGCGCACGGTCGTCGCAAGTCAGTACAGTTGTGTGTGGGCTGCTATCGGAAGGCCGCTAGTTCTTGCAGATCCCTGTCCACTGTCCTAACGGATACTTATAGGTGATTTCCACCTATAGTGCCGCCACTCATGGGGGTGTCAGGTTATTCCATCACATCACTTCAGTATCGTTTGCTTTTTGCGTTGTCTTCTATTTGATTCTAGGCTTACGGCCAAATCACGTTGAAACACCGGTCCTCATATAACGATCACCAGAATTAAGCAACGCCGAGGCTGGTCATTCCCTAGATGTGTGATCGCTTGGGAATATCAAGTTCTGTAGGCTTGGATGTGCGGTTGGTGCAATGGATAACTTCACGAAATTGGTAATCGGAGGGCCGAGTTCCAATTCTAGTCGGTTTCGTTATATTCACTTAAGCACTAATACCCTTGGAAAAGGTATCAATCCATCTGTCCCCCAGCTATGGATTAATTAGTATGACTTGTATCAGTAAATCGTTACTATCTCCAAAATATTCTCATAATCTAAAAGTACTTTCTGGATTTGTATAACCTGCAGTAGGTTGATAAACCGTAAAAATCAATCTATTTCATTTTGCGTACTTTCCCCCATTTTCTTCTTTTCTTCATAAGAATCTTCTTTTTCTTTTCTCTTTCATTTATGTCGATTTTTTTCTTTTCTTTTAAGTTTTCTTCATCTTTTTCTACTTTCTTTATTTTTACTTTATCTTCTTTATACATTTGTACACTTCTTTTACACTTCTTTTACACTTCTTCACTGTTAACTCGCTTTCTTTGCGTCTCTTTATTTTTCATTTTCTCTTCATCTTTTTCGTTTTCCTTCTTCGTTACTCTCCTTTCATTTTCCTCGTCTTTTTTCTTCTCACCATCTTCATTATATTTTCTTCTACACTACCTTTTTTTGTCTTTCCTCTCATTTTTTCTTTTCACTTTCAACTTGCTCGTCTTTTTCATTGTCATCTCCCCGTCCCATCTTTTCTTCTCTTCGTCTTTTTCACTCCTCATCTTATTTCTTTTTCTCTCCCCGCCATTGTCCTCGTCTTTCTCTTTTCGTCACCTTCATTATATATTTTCCCTTATTTTCGTTTTTTCTCTTCTTTATTTTCTGTCTTTTCTTCTCTCTCTCTCTCTCTCTCTCTCTCTCTCTCTCTCTCTCTCTCTCTCTATCTATCTATCTATCTATCTCATCATAATTGTTGACTACTTATTTACTCTTTTTATTTTTCTTTAAATCCTTCTGAACTAATTTCTTCTTTCTTCTTCCATTTTTCTTTGGCTTTTATTCATTTCGCCCTCCTCGTCTTCCTCCTTCTTTACATGTTTCTTCTTACTTTTTCTTATTTTATTTTCCTCACTTTCACCTTCAGCTTCCTCTTCTTTTTTTAATGGTCTAAATTTTGAATTTTTTCTCCCCACTAATCTCTTTCACCCTTTCTTTCTCACACACATTTAAATTTAACTCTTGTTTTATAAACTTGCCTTTATTTCCGCTTGCTCTAACAATTTTTTTTCATTTCTGTAGAATCTTTCTTTCTTTTTACTCTTGTTCTTTCTTTACTTTAAATTTATTTATTTTCGTTCTTATCTTCACCCTCTTTCTTTTTGTTCTCATCTTTCCTCCTCTTTTTCGTTCTTATCTTCACCCTCTTTCTTTTTGTTCTCATCTTTCCTCCACTTTATTTTTGTTCTTATCTTTCCTCCTCTTTCTTTTTCTTCCTCTCTTCCCTCCTCTTTTTTTTTGTTCTCATCTTCCTCCTCTTTCTTTTTGTTCTTATCTTTCCTCCTCTTTCTTTTTCTTATCTTTCCTCCTCTTTCTTTTTGTTCTTAACTTTCCTCCTCTTTGTATATATTCTTATCTTTCCCCCTCATCTTTATTCTTTAGATTCGATAGCTTTATACTCTCACTCTTCCCATTCTACATGTTCGTTTGTTTCTCTGCTTTTTCTCTTAATTACGTTTCGTTTTTTCTTCCTCTTCTTTTCATCTCTTCTCAATTTCTTAACTTTCATTACTTTCGTTTCTATATATTTTCTTATTCTTTCTCTTTCTTCCTTCTTCTTCTTCGACTTTTACTGCATTCTCTTTCTACTCTTTCTTCCTTTGTAATTTCTTTTCGAAATATCAAATTTGTAATAGAAGCAGTTATAACAGAAAATCAACTAAAAAAAAATTGCATATCTTGTTATCTGCTCTGACGTCGTGGTTTTTTTTATTTTTTCCTCGTTCTTATTTTTTATTTTCAAATTTATTTCTGCATTCCTTCCCCTTATGTAGGTGGCGCTGTTAGCTTCTCATTTCCTCGCTTACTCGGAATAAAAAAGTTAATAATAACAGTTTTCTTGAGAACTACAGTAACAATACTATTTTCTTGTTATGTTATCTACCAACTGCGTTGTTCTCTTGTACCATTTTTCAAAATTTTTCTGCAACTTTTTCTTCGCTTATTTATCTAATTTCAGTTTGGACTTTTTGCAACTCGCCTAAAATATCAGTTCATTGGAATTGAAGTAACTTTTTCACCTTAAATAGTCGGATTATTTTATCGTCTGCTTCATCTGTCTCTTGTATGTCGTATTTTTTTTTTCTATGACTATAGATAAAGAGATATTTTCTAAGTTTAACTCATGGTTAGTGAATGCGGGTAACTCAGTTAACTTATGTTAGAGAAGCCTAACGCCTTTCTTAGAGGCCAATTTTAACTTTGTGCTGTATATTATATGTGTAAAAAAAATCAACGAAAATAAAGTATAACACTGTAGTTAGACTTTCTGTCTGTTAAAATTCTTGAATATTACTCGCTTACTTTTTACCAGACTTTGAATTAAGACATTTTATGTTCTCCACATGTTTTGACTGACCTTTCAACCACCTGACGAGCATTCATGAACGCTCTCAAATTTAAAAACCTTGATAAACCATTGAAATCCTCGCTTTTAGATATAAACACGTGCAACAAAACAAATCTTGCCTTGATAAAGTCCCTCAGTGGACGAAACGTACCGGCTATGAAGAGTTTTTTTCTTCTTGTCGTTTTTATTCATTTTGTTCTTCTACAGATACACCCTATCTGAAAATATTTACACACACACAAGCGTTTCTATAAAAGTTACTTTTAGTGGATACACTTCAGTTGCGATCCTTGTTTTTATTTTATTATTAATTATTAATTATTAACTACCGGCCTAGACTGAAAAGTCTTAATAAAGAAAGATTGTGCCTCCCAACAGGAATCCAAAATTATTGTTATTTACGTTCCTGGTAGGTTTGGTTTGTTTTACGGCATATCAACTTCAATGGGTTATTTAATGCCGGCAAAATTTTTATTGCTGGTAATATGTTTTTCTTCAAAAATCTATTTCTGGGTATATTTTTCCTTGAAGAAATCTTTAGCTGGTCATATTTTTTTCAAAGAATGTATAACTGTTTGTATTGCTGGTATTTTTTTTAAAGTATTGAGGACAATTTTTTCTTCAAAATTTATTGCTGGTAATATTTTTTTATTACAAAGTATTTCTGTATCTGTCTATATTTCTGAGATGAGGTATTATGTACATTATTTACATTATTCGGACTATTGTCCTCATCTTTGTCGCCATGTTTATTACAACGTTTCGGCCGTTGTACGCTCCGGCCTTCTTCAGGTGGTTTGAATGTCGAACTGAACTCTTTATTTCGCTCACTGGGGTAGACTGTTCTCTATGGCAGGTGGAACTAGAACAGTATACCCCAGTGAGCGAAATAAAAGGTTCAGTTCGACATTCCAACCACCTGAAGAAGGCCGGAGCGTACAACGGCCGAAACGTTGTAATAAATATGGCGACAAAGATGAGGACAATAATCCGAATAATATAAATAAAGTATTTCTGGTATTAAAACCTATTTTTACACAAGTTTGGATGTTAGCTATTTTCCCATAGCTGGTACCTAACAGGTGCTACCACCGCGGGTCAAAACTTCCTGATCAGAGGCCTTGCTGATGGACGTAGTTTATCGTCTTACCCAGGATGAACGTTCCGGGTAGGAGACCGGAACGAGTTGATATCGATTCGGAGAAATCCCAACGAAAAATGTGCATTCCTTAAATAGATACTTCTATGGCCGAATTGGTAAAGGCTATAGAAGATTTTTCCCTAGGGGGAAATGAGATACAGGTTCGATTCCTGTCAATGACAGAATATTACAATTCATTTCAATATTTTATTAGTAGGACTTCTCTGTCTAGGTTGGCTGATATTAATTTCACTGTTTAGGAAAATAAAATAAAATAAAAAACAAGAATAGGAAGTCAAATACATGCACCCACTAAAAATAACGTTTATAATAATAAATAAATAATGTCGGGAAAAAATCCATACAAAACTCTGTGTTTGAGCGCGCACTATCAATAGGTACATGGAATACATCAGTAGATTAGCAACATGAAACGTAGTTATCAAATGAATTTTGATCTGAAAGTTTTAGTGTATAATATTTGATCTATGTTATTAATATTCATCACTAAATTAAGTGGAAGTAACAAGGAAGGGATTTATGGTGAAAAATAATTGATATGCAAAATAAATACCTTTCCCAACATTAGGTTACGGACTTATTAATGTACGTACGTACGATATATATATATATATATATATATATATATATATATATATATATATATATATATATATATATATATATTGTGTATTTAGGCAGCATTTTTCATTGATGCATGTTGCATTAAATAATATGGACAAGTTTTGTCTATTTTAAGTAAATTCCTTTCATATTGTCTGATAAGCTTAACATTATCATTGAAAGACGAAAGAAAATCGCAATATTGATACATGTTTTTTAATCCTATTTATGTAAGCCGAAAGCTTAGATAGGATTAAAAAAACATGTATCAATATGGTGTTTTTCTTTCATCTTTCAATGATAATGTTACTAAGCTTATCAGACAATTTGAAACGAATCTTTCTTAAAATAAATAGACAAAACTTGTCTATATTATTTAATGAAACATGCATCAACATATATATATATATATATATATATATATATATATATATATATATATATGTATAAGGCTCAAACAGTAATATTCTATAAAAAAAAATATATATTGACCACTAATATTATATATATATATATATATATATATATATATATTGATAAAATAAAGTTTTAAGGTACTCTATATTTATGGGTTAAAGTGCTCAATATCAGCGATACAACAAATGTAAATATAAAAGTGGACATTGAAGTCCACACCCAGAGGCATTCGTTAGGCTATGCGCATTGTGTTTTTGCTCGACTTTTTATACATACAGTTAAGTGATGCATTGTGGATAGTCTATTGTATTATTCTAACGGTTATTGGCGTAATTTGTTAATTTGTTTATTATTTAATTAGTTTATTTACTTATTTACTTGGATTAATTTAGTTTACTTGTTTTTGCTTATTTATTTTATTTCATATACTTATTTTCATTTATTATTTTCAGTTTTAAGTAACGTAATAAAAATTTGTTTTCGTGCCTGCATTCTGAGATAAGTTCTGATCGTTTATTTAGTAGTTTGCTTGGGCCTGGGAAGCTAATTATAGCTATTTTTTCTCCAAGCAGAATTTACAGTTTTGGGATTGATTGTTGTAGTCTGATGTTCTTTTCCTCATTTTAATTGATATTTTTCGTGTGATTTGTTTTTCGTTTTTAATCTCCCAGGTATGTTTACTCTTGAAATAGACGCCACATTTTTATTTATTAAGCAGGGCGTATTACGTCTATTGGCCTGTGCATTCGAAAAATCTTGTTTTTTTTAAATATGCATTCGCAAACAGGGATCGAAACTGCGATCCCTGTGTATAGGAAACCACTATTTGATCCAGTGTGCTTTACTACTCAGACACGGAAAGCAACAAGAATTTCTAGTTTCCCCATTTTAAGGAAGTACATCCTCTTCACTCAGATTAATTTCTCGAGATTACGAAGTATCTCTATAACATTTGATGTAATTAGATATAAAGCGTGCGATGGATAAATTGTCCTCTAAATTAGGCTAAAATTTAAATAACACTAACATCACATTTTAACAGATATATTAACCAAAATTACACAAAAATACCTTGAAATACTAAAGGATAAATTTATTCAACAAAATTGCCATTGGCTTCAAGCACGGCATACAGATGACTTCGGAATCTCCTGCATCTCTTCTGGGCGGTCTCCTTGTTTAAGCTACTGAATGCTTCTATAATCAAGGGGGCTTGCAGTCTTGGGAGTTAGGTGGGGGATGTGATCGCAGAAATTGTCTGACAGCCACGACTGGTTTCTCCTGCTTGTGTAGTATGGTGAAGGGTCCTGTTGCTAGATATAGTGTCTTCCAGCCGCCACCCTCTTGACCCAGAGCAGCACTAGTTCCTCCGTGTTGAGATTGAGGCCCTGTGGGAAAGTGAATGGAGGCATAACGTCGCCGTCACTTGTGATCACTCCAAACACCTTTGTAATCACTCATCCAACTCTTTCCAAATCCTCTGCACTGTCCTCAGATTGACACCCAAACACCCTGAAATGTTAATATCGGAGCTTCGGGCGCAAATGACAATCTGTAAAACATCCGTTTCCAAATTTCTGTCGGAGTGAATTGCGTCATGGTACTCGTTTTCTCACGGGCGGTGCCCAACTGACTCTACTGTTCTGTGCCGTTGACAAAATCAAAAACAAACGTCTATGCGTGAAATTAAAAATATAAAATTACAATAACCCCATGCACCATATATATATATATATATATATATATATATAAACGGCTCAAACACTAATATTCCATGGTTATAATTAATTACATTGG